CAGCCAGCTTGCTGGCTGGGGAATTCTGGGAGTTGAAGTCCACGCCTCTTGAAGTTGCCAAGATTGAGAAACGCTAGCTTAGTGTACAAAATTGTACTGTTCTGTATTTACTGCTGAGCGTGAAAGCCATGTTTTGAGCCCCATTTCAACTTCGCAACAGCTGTTCCAACCTCACAGGAAGGTTTTGTGCTGATCTGAGCCATCTTAACATCCTCTGGGCTCCAAACAGCCCCATTTTCACCCAGCGTTTTGAACCAGGGCCGTGTCCGGCTCAGAACGCCACCCGGGAAAGTGGGACTGCTGTTTTGTGCTCAGGATGATTCGCCCACCTCGGCAGTTAAATAATTTACTGAACCCCAACGCAATATGAAGACTATTACGCAGTTTCCATTCCGGCGCAGCCCGCAGGGCCTCGTGTCATGCGAGAACCCACGTCTCTTTGGAAGGATGGGAGCGTTCCTGGGAGGAGCTCCTCCAAAGAGAAAACACGGCACAGGATGGTGGCCCCCGTCCCCCAAACCCATGCTTGAACTGCTCTGGCTCCTCAGAACAAACTCTTGCCCTTTGGGGGAATGGGGACCCCCATCTTTGCCTTCTTTGCAGCAGCAGAAAACGAAGCAGCGTTAAACGTGGATGAATCTTGGGTAGGAAGCCACCAGGAGATCCCAGGGCTGAAGTGAAAAAACATCTCCAAGAAACAAGATGATGTATCCGTGGCATCCCCAGGAGCCGAGTTTGGACTGAAGAGGACCTCGCCTTTCCCACAACCATCTCTCCCCCCGTTGTCTTTCCCCAGGCAAGGCAATGCCCGGCTGCTTCAGCCTCTCTCTTCCTTCTTCTTGCCGTAGGGAGGAGGAGAATTTTTCCGATTTGGGCTCGGAGTCCACAGCCAGCCTCCCCCGATGCCCGTCCCTCTTTGCCAGCCGGACCAGGAGCCCGCCTCCACCTCCAGCTGGTCCGGAAGAAGGTAAGAACTGGCACGCCCGGATGTGGCCGGGATCTTGCTTGGAAGAGAAGCTCGTTGGGTTGGAAACCGTGAATTAGGAGTCCAGAAAAATGCCACCGTTGCTGCTGCTTGATTCCTCTCCTGGTTTGCTCTCCTGGCTGGCCTCCTTTTGGAAAGATGCTTCTGACTTGGGCTTCAGGTCAAACTCGTTCTTGTTGGAAACCGAAGCGCCAAGCAGTTTTTGGAGTCCACAGCTCAGCTTGTTTCGGCCGTGGCTGTATCACCGATTGAGGATTGCTAGAGCATCCTCCCCCCTGGAGAGAATTTGGGGAGAGTCTCCCTTGGAGGAGGTGGTCACCTCCCTGCCTTCTCCCAGGTTGTTTCTCTATCAAAGCGTTTCCAGGAGGAGAGATTTCCGGGGCCAGCCTGGGGGCCGCCTCCGTCCTCAGCCCAGCCGTGCCTCCCCCCCCTCCTGCTCCCCCCCAGCCAGGGTGGCCTTTTGGTCTGCCAGCCTGGGCCTCCCAGGCCACCCGCCTTCCACCCGGGGCCTTTGGCTCCGGTGGCTGACCCAGACGCCCACCTGGAGTTCACTGACGCGAACGGGGGAAGTCCAGCTGCCCCACGAGGATCAGGAACGTTCTTCTCACGTCCGCCTTTGTCTCCCAGGCAAGGCTGACCTGTTTCTCGATGTGCATAAGGCTGTCACGTCCCTGGAGAACGTCGTCCTTTCGTACCGGAGCTGCCTTCCCAGCACGGAAGCCGAGCTGGAGGGATATCCCCGGGTGGCTGAGGTGCGCAGGGGCTGGGAGGGATGGGGGGAGCAACTGGACCCCCATTTCCAGCCAGGGAGGGCCACAGAACGGGGTGCTGGACTTTTCTTCTCACCCACTTTTTATAAAGTATCATTTCACTCAACCGAACGCTGCTCCCTGTTCTTATGAAAGACAAGCAACGCCTTTGACGTTTGCACCTCGGCAGCCGGCGCTGCCTCTTGGGTCTCTTGAGGTCCCGCCTGGCTAGTCCTTCTGTCCCTCTGCCCGGGAGGGAGGGGGCAGAGCTGTCTCCCCTCAAAGGTGGGGGCTCGGGGGTGGTCCTGCCAGGGCTGGCCAGCTGCAAATCGCTTGACTTGTCCCAGGGCCTGGAAGCAAAGTTGATGAAACTCCAGCCGGGCAGCCTACGGCCCCTCCGCCAGGAGGCTCCGGCACCCGCCCACGAGAGGACGGTGGCCCTCTGCAAAGGAGGGACCGCGGCCCTCGGAGCCGAGCTGGGAGCCAAGGAGGAGGCCCTGCGGCGGTCCGGCGCCTC